ATGATGGACATGCCGAAGATCAAGCATCGCGCACATCTAATCACGAGAACGCCGGCTGTCAAGGAGACAATCACCGCTAACGATTCTGAAGATTCGAAATGCACGGGGACAATATTGACGAGGAAGAAAAGACGTGGAGAGGAATGAAGCTACACCACGAACAGCAACCACCAACCACCAAAACTGTTCACCGTAAATTCTCTTCTGTGTGTAGCTCCCATAAGTATGTCTAAATCTATATAAATCTATGCATTTGTTGTAACTTGTGCCTACCAGATCATGAACACAGCTATATCTCAATTTCTAAGTACAAACGCTTTTAGGAGGTTTTGATTGTATTTATTTATTTACATTTCAACAGATTTCCCCTCCTCCTTGCTCGCCCGGAGTGTTGATGATTTGTGCATCATCAACCTCAGCAATTCTATAATCCTTATAGCTTGCGGGTATTCCCCATGGGCTATATTCCCCAATCGCTTATATTTAAGTGCCGTATCACTCAGCAGTGAGTGGCACCTAACTTCCAGGGGCCGCGCCAAGCCGCGGCATCCCCTTGTGTATATTTCTTGGACAGTCTGATTGTGCACGGGTCAGCTCCGCCTTACTACCTATATAAGGAGCCCCCGAATGTATTATTGGTTGCTCCCCCGGTCCAACACCGGGTTCGTCTGTGGATAAATTATTATCGACACCACTATCGCCTACGACACTTGGTTCCCACCAAACAAATGCTTGGTTACTGGTTTTTCTGCTTAGGTATGCTAGTATTTGGACACTGGAAGTGACTGATCTGAGCTTTGAGGAAGTGCCTCTTTGTATGATGGTGTTATGCTTCTGTGGGCGCAAAGACCGCAGTCTAATCCGTCATCACGATTTTTAAAATAACCATAACTTTTTAAAGCTCTTTGTCAGAAGCTCTTAGTGATAAACCCTAGTAAAGGCTTTCGAAAAGTTGACAGGAATAGTACCCACAGACGTCCAGTCAGAAGTAGTAACTACAAGGTTAGCAGAGATATTCGTACCTTCTAATTATAAGGAGCTATCTTCTTATATATAAAGCTGAATGTCTGTTTGTATGTGCAATTGATTCAACTGGCTGAGCTTCGGCAAAGGCGGGCTTCGTGACCTAATTAAGGCTAGGTAATGATCAGAGAGCACTCGCGCGCGAGAGACGCAGGTGCGTCGCGGGCGCGAGCGGCCTGCCCTGACGGAGCTAGACCAGTTGAATCAAAGATAGTCTGTATGTATGTACCAGTGGCGTACCGGGGGGGGGGGGGCGCCCCCCCCCCCCCCCCCGAGAATGGGATGGGTCGCGAAATTTTTGAAAGTTACTTATATGGGTTATAAAAATGTGCAAGTGACTTGTTTATTTTTGTAAATAATTGAAATAATTTTTAAAAATTTTTAACAATTCTAATTAGCCTTGTAAAAAAATTTTTTTCGGGGGCGTGGCTGACGCCACGCCCCCTTTTCCCAGATTTTAGGGGTTGGGGACCCGCAAAAGTTTTGAGAAGCACCCCAAAAAATTTTTCGGAGTGCGTGGCTAACGCCACGCACCTTCTTTAGAAAAATTTTTTTGTCGCGCCCCCCCCCCCCTCCGAGCCGAAATCCTGGGTACGCCACTGGTATGTACGTATGTTCCGAATAGAAAACTCCATTTCTGAGCCGATCCGGACCAAACTTGGCACATATACACTTCGGTCCCCGGCGGGTGTCATAGGCTACTTTTCGTCATGGATCGATATCGATTTTATCGTTGCAAAATTTGAGCTACGGGGCTGGGAGTTGGCACAGGGGGGGGGGGTAATCGAGCATGCTGATTACGAATATAATAATGACAGGGCCGGGCGGAGCCGGGTTTGCCAGCTAGTGCTTTCTAAATGATACATCGGACAGAAATTCATGGGTCGGTAGTAATCTGGTCGAAACTCCGAGTTTGAAGCTCCGCGTTAACTCAGAGATAACTCTGAGTTCCGTTTCTGAAACTCTGAGTTACGCTTATTGAAACTCTGAGTTCCGCTTTCGTAATTCTGAATTCCAACTCTCAAGCTCGGAGTTTTGCTTTGAGGAGCTGTTAAGCACTTTGCTGCAAAAGCGACGTTAAAGTAGGGACTCGAACCTGTATGGTCTAGCGTAAAGATCCTATCACTAAACCGCTAGACCATGACACACCCACGAACCCTAAAATTGCTTTGCCATAATGTACTCACTCATTCCATTAACACTTAGCAGGTCAAAACAAGTTATACCAAAGCCTCACTCATTTCCATTTCTATCGGGCAGTGATGGTTCATCACGAGGATTGGTCTTTTGCGCAGCTGAAAGCTTCAAACAATAGCGAAAGCTGATGGCATACGCAGTGATAAGAATTGACTATTAGGATTTGCGCACAGAATAAATCCTCCGGGCAAAGTTTGCCCTTCCATGATTTCGTCTTACTTACCGTATACCTACCGTAACCGTTCCATATGTCACCAGTGTATGTAGCAGATAGATTGTCCGTAATCTGCATCCCGAATAACTCCAGTGTACCAAATTCCGGCTAATTCCGCCGCTTTAATTCATCTACCGTAAACCTACCGTAGCCCCGTCAGATGACACTGCAGTATAATCTACATGTCATATTCGTTATCGGTGCCCCGAATAACCCCAGTGTACCAAGTTTCGATCAGTTTCGTGATTTTCTCCTATCTACCGTAAACCTACCGTAACCTCGTCAGATGACACTGCAATATAATCTACATGTCATATTCGTTATCGGCGCCCCGAATAACCCCAGTGTACCAAGTTTCGATTAGTTTCGTGATTTTCTCCCATCTACCGTAAACCTACCGTAACACATCTACATGACCCCATAGTGAAAAATGGGAACCATATGCGTGACCAGCGCACCGAATAACCCCCTGCGCCAAGTTTTTACAAAATTTCAAAATTTTGTAAATCACTGCGCACCACGATACCCCTATCATGCCTGCTTAAACTACGAGCAAAATGTACCCCGGAGGACTTTTTAGCTGCCCCTCTTCTTTTGCGCGCTATTTCTCTTTCTCTGACCAAACTCAGAGTTATCTCTGAGTTCCACGATAGACTGGAACTCGCACCAAACTCAGAGTTATCGCAGACACTAGTTGCGCGTTTGGTGGCGCTGTTTCTTGTGCAGGACGATTTGGACAATGTTGCGCTACTAGAATAAACTACGTGTTAAGGAGAATCCTGCCATATCATCGCTTTCCGGATATGATCTGTTAAACACCTGTTAAGGGGGTCAAAAAGTTGCGCGTTAGCTCAGAGATAACTCAGAGTTAACTCTGAGTTATAACTCTGAGTTTCGATAGGTTTACTACCGACCATGGTGTAAGTATTTCTTAAAATTTCCATAACCCTGACCTAAGGAGAGTTCATGCAAATTGTAGGGAACTATTAGTCGTCCGTAGAGTGCTCAAATCATGTATTCAACGGCTCTTCCATTCGCAAGGAAGTTCGCCAGAGAGCACGGAAGTATTGCAGGACTGTCACCAGTTTGCAGAGCGCATCTACATACGCCCTATAGCTAAAACATCCGGCTTCGCTCAATCCCTGTCAACATGATATAATAGAACTCATCTTCGTGCTTGGCTCAACTTCGCACAAGGCAGAAAATCATCCACTTTGAAATATCGGTGCCTGCTCTGTTTTCATAGGGCAATGTTTTAAAAAATCACAGAAAAGATCACTTTGGCAAGGGCTTGCAGAAAATCTCAATTTTTTCTCGGAAAGGTAAGCGTCTGAGCAAGTATGGTCAAGTAGAATGGAAGTACACTGCACAGTGTTCCACATGGTAGAATACAACTTAAAAGTACCATTTTTTAGTTTTCCGGACTACTTTTGTGCGGCAATACTTGGGCTGATGAAGTGAAAATCTGAGTTGAAAATTTCTATTTTGAAGATCTTGAAGAATTTTTCAAAAAAAAATCAAGATGCCCCTTTACTTTTGGATCACCCTAATATTTCAAAACAGCGTATGTCTATCGGCCAAGCCCAACTCACTTGCTAGCGACCCATAAGATCGCTAGTCTTAGGCCCCCGCCAGAGTGCCGAAGCCATGCCAGCGCTACGCCAGCGCCGAGCCAGCGTTTCGATCGATACACGTATATATCGTTGGGGACATCTACCTGCTAAGAACTAGGTCAGCTAGCCCCGCCCCAACGAAACACACGTGTATCGATCGAAACGCTGGCTCGGCCCTGGCGTAGCGCTGGCATGGCTTCGGCACTCTGGCGGGAGCCTTATCTTACACAGTCTGCCCCAATTGGGATCAGGGTGAACCGTTCACTAAATTTGCGCGCTCGCAGTGCTAGGGGTTTGCGCTGCATACGCGCGCTGTCACAGAGAGCGAACAGAATGAGGAGGGAGCAGAAAAGCTAACCGCAGATGTGGCGCGAAACCCTCGCGACACGGACTCTCGCCATGCCAATTTTGGACTGGTTAGGATTGGAGTAGACTGTATATCTTTCGATTTGTTTCCTTCACTTTGAAATTCAGTACAAGCGAGTGTGCGCTAAATTGCATAAGGCTTCCGCTTCTGATGATTGCATTCAAGAATGTAGATGTTTTGACAGTCTTATAGCTTGTCAGACCGAGTTTGCAAAGCAGATTTCCCACCAACCGGATATTATAGTATCCCGGGAACCCGGGAAGCACATAGAAACACAAGTGCAGGTTTTGTCTGTGATAGCAGACCATCTCCAATGATTTGTTTCTTTTACTACAACAGTGACGAGATTGATACACAACTTTATTGAAAACTGGGTTTCTGTAATGTCATCATCTTTGGCGTCTGAGAAGGCGAAAATTTTCAGCATAACCTTCATCTGGTCTGGTACTTTGTCGATTTCAGAAAAGCTCATTGCCGTAGAAAAACATTGACACCGCATTATCTCTAATTCGTAATTGCGATATTATAGTTCTATTGAACGTGCTCACTACACAAGTTCCCAAAATTTTGCAGAATCCATTCAGAAATGTTACTTGAGTTCGTTGCTGTTAGTGTTGTAGTCTACTTCGCGTTTGGACAAGGTCAGTCGTTATTCATAACTGAATGCGAATGAAAGGTAGCTTCTATGAGTTCAGAAATAAACCCGGGGGAATGGAACAAGGAATGGAGTGAATGGAACCGTGAATGGCAGGAGTGGGACCGCGAATGGAGCGAGTTTTTGGGGAGACCCGTTTGGAGGATGGAACCGTTTCACTCCGATAGGTGAAGTCAGAATGATTAACAAATACTGTTAGTGATTTGCATGTTTATAGGGTTCTAATCGTAAGAACCGCAAGATTAACCACGAGCTTGGGTGTGATATCAAGCAAAAGTTCTGTCACAGCTCTTGTCTCAATAAGAAACAAAATTATTTCTTGTAAGCTTTGTATCATATGACAAGTGTTAATCATTCTACAATTTGATAAAAGATGCGAAACTTGTAAAGTTCCAATCTAATAAAAAAAACCTCAGCGGAGTAACTGCAGTTTTGATTATTTATCGGTTATGACTTGCAAGGGAAAGTCAAAAGGTCGTGGCCGATTTGGATGTGATATTAGGTTGGTGCCAAAATAAAGAGCGTTTTCCTAGGACTTTTTTCAGGACAACTTTTCTCCATCAAACGTCTTTCTTTGTAACGTTTCAGCACATTGTTAGGAAGCTCTTTTCATGCTCTATCTGACGATGTTCGAAAGGAACTTCTAGCCCACTCTATTAAGAATTTATAGAGCTTCACATAATCGCACTCAAAATTAGATTTCCGTTGCATTCATTTTTCTGGCCAAAATTTGAGCGCGAATGAAGATGGTTTATCGAAAATTTAGCCGATAAATGTAATGGAAATTGTCTACATTATGCATATTCAACCATATTTTTTCAGGTTATCTAAAGTGAGATATCGGCGACTTAACATGGGTACTGGTTGTGGTCATTTTAGAGCCCATAACTTTCTTTTGTAAAATGCAGTTGCTCAAACTTTGCTCATCTCTGTAAGCGTGAGAATAGGAGTCCCATTAGCGGTTTTTGCAAAAACATCCAGCTTTTCAGTACGCAGAAAATTAAAAAAATTCTCTACTTCGGGGTTTTGAGGCCCACTGAAAAAATGCTAAAAAAGTTGATATTTTGGACTAGCGACCCTACGGGTCGCTAGCAAGTGGGTAGGGGCAGATACAATATAAGGGCTTAGTTGTGATTATAAATATTTCTAATTAAGTGCCTTTGCTGAGAACATCTTTGCGAAGCATTCTACAAAAGGAGAACTGTTTGAAGAAGCATCTCCACAAATCAATCAGCATTTCTCGAAATTCCTGCTGCAACCATGCATGGGGTATTACTTTTCTCTCGTTTACCACGCTCTTTCTGCAAATCTCCCCTCCTCACAGAGACATTCAGATAACCCCCCTCCCCATCTTTTCTACCCTCTCAAAGAGAATTTGCTCTTCCAGTTCTTCTCAACAATTTCCGTAGAAGATCGTCAAGGAAGTAGAAGAACATTTATCGTTTTGGAAGTAGAAATACACCCACAACAATTCTGCACAAAAAAACTTTTCTCTCAGAATCAACCGAAGTCAATCATCTAAGACCTTTGTCAGAAAATTTTTCAATATTTTCGTCAAAGGAATATGAAGCTTTACTACATAAGTAGATCCCTCCCCGAAAAGCACACTACTGAGCCACCTAAAGACCGTCAGTCATAAGAACTGCATAAATGTACAAAAAATTTGTTTCCCTGTCCGATTAAATTGCCCTACGTGCCGCCTGAAGATCGTTAAAAAATTATAAGAACTGCCCCAAATGACAAAAATCTGTTCCCCTGCCCGATCAAGTTGCCCTACTTGCCGCTTGAGGACCGTTTGAAAATTATAAGAACTGTCCCGAACAAAAATCTGTACAGAATCTGTTCCCCTCCCCGATCAAGTTGCCCTACGTGCCGCTTGAAGACCGTTTAAAAATTATAGGAGCTGCCCCAAACGTACAAGAATCTGTCCCCCTGCCCGATCAAGTTGCCCTATGTGCCGCTTGAAGACCGTCTAAAAATTATAAGAACTGTCCCGAACAAAAATCTGTACAAAATCTGCTCCCCTGCCCGATCAAGTTGCCCTACGTGCCGCTTGAAGACCGTTTGAAAATTATAAGAACTGTCCCGAACAAAAATCTGTACAGAATCTGTTCCCCTCCCCGATCAAGTTGCCCTACGTGCCGCTTGAAGACCGTTTAAAAATTATAGGAGCTGCCCCAAACGTACAAGAATCTGTCCCCCTGCCCGATCAAGTTGCCCTATGTGCCGCTTGAAGACCGTCTAAAAATTATAAGAACTGTCCCGAACAAAAATCTGTACAAAATCTGCTCCCCTGCCCGATCAAGTTGCCCTACGTGCCGCTTGAAGACCGTTAAAAAATTATAAGAACTGCCCCAAACGACAAAAATCTGTTCCCCTGCCCGATCAAGTTGCCCTATGTGCCGCTTGAAGACCGTTCAAAAATTATAAGAACTGCCCCAAACGTACAAAAATCTGTTCCCCTGCCCGATCAAGTTGCCCTACGTGCCGCTTACACATCAATTTCTAGTTGAAAGCACCAGCGGAACCCATTAACAAGCAAAAGCAAGGCTGTTATTAGATGAACGTTTCCAAAAGTACCAGCGAGACCAAGTTACTCACGCACTCTCTTGCCTACACGTGGAAGCAAGACGGTCCTAAAGTGACTGTTCTTACAAGGGAATGGTCAGAAATCGAAGTGGCCTTTCCAGACAAGCTGCGTAGCGTTAGATGCAGCATGAAGCGCTGACCCTAAATCTGTCTTCTTTATCTGCTTATCGCTTCTCTGGACGAAGTTATAAGCCATTAAAGACCATTATTTTGCTTAGAAATTATGCGTGAAATTGAAAATTTGGCCTACAGAGCCTCGTTCGTCTCAATGCTGGGCCAAAACATGCAGCTAGCTTACTCAAAATTTTTGAAGCCAGAAGCCGAGCTAAAAGTGCAACAATATGCTCAATTTCGCTGTTTTTATGTATGATTTTTTCACAGTAAAGCCGCTTGTAGCTTCGTCCACAGAAGCGGGAAGCAGATAAGGAAGGCAGATTCGAAGTCAGCGTTTTTTACTGCATCGAATGATAGACAGCTTGTTTGGTTTGGCCACTTCGACTTCTGACCATTCCCTTGTTAGTTAGTGCATTTTTACAAGAGTTGAGAACTTAGATGAATTTAATTCAAATTACGCTGTTACGCAATTTGGCATCATTTCAAAAGCATTAGGAGTACAACATATTTGAAAGACACATTCTGGGATAACAAGCTCGAAAACAAAGCAGCTACAAATAACCACCCGAATACCCGGACACTGGCGACCTAGTCTCAAAATCATTGCGATCTCATGATTGCCTTTCGAAATACGTGTGACCCTTTTACGAAAATATGCTTGGTCACTCGTTTTGAAATTTGGCAGCGTTCCAAAACGCATGCCACTTGGCAGCAATCCAAAGACAAAGATCAGCATATTTCATCATAATTTCTCCGTCTGCGGCCTCCTCGTTTGCCATGTCCCACGGACCAGGGGTGTTAATGGGTAAACAACGATTCCAAAATATATTACGTAGTGATTTTGATTTTTTCCTCTTCGCTAATCTTTTTTCTCCGAGCCGTTTTCATGTATATTTGTACTACTGGCTTGCGGCTACAAGATAGGCTGCTTATAAATCATAAGAACAAAGTGTGAAAGGAGTTATGTTCTGTCAAAAACAAGGCTCCAGAAAAAAACTCTTTTTGTTTTTCAATCCATATTTTTCTGCCCATATGAGATATGAGTATGGTTCAATGTGCGCTGTACTGCGAAAGGTTCGCTGCATCTGAAGGTCTTTATCATATTTCGAAATGTAGATTTTATAGAAAGTTATAGCAAGTTAAAGTGAAAGATGGGAAAACGCTCATTATTTTTGCACCAACCCAGTATATGCTCAGACTGAGAGCACAGGCGGTTGGTTTCGAACGCGCTTTGGTTAGCTGCGAAGCGTCAATCTGGAGCAAAATACAGCCTCCTGGTTTTGGCGCATGCAAGTCTGAGAAGAGCTAGTCCAAACTTGATTGTATGGTACAATGATTAGTGTATCGTCAGACTCACAGGTTGCCTATGGCTTTTCAAATCAGTTGTCGTGCGAAGTTTTAGTTCCCTTCTCAGATTCAGCTCTGTATTTGTTTCAAATATCTTTGAGGGATAGACGTCGACAGCTTACAAATCTATGCAAAAAAACTAATCTTTCAGAAACGGTTTCTTAAGTTGCGATTTCAGGCAAAAATAATTAGAGCCGAACTTGCCAAGATCTTTATAATATCAAGTTGCTCACAAAATAGCCTTCTTGAGCGCTTACATGCTACTATGGGCCGCGGGCACACCTCACGCAATTTCATTCGCCACGCGATGTGGCAGTTTGCCATATTTCTCCAAATTCGATACTGGCAAACCCCAAATGCACGGCATGTACAAATTTCTTAGATTAGTAGTCGTAGCCCTATCTTCCATGTACTCAAATACCCCTTACGATGAGTTACGAATAATTGGAGTATTGCCAAGTCGCGTCGCAACTGAAATCGGGAGGCAGCCAACATGAACGATAGCTTGTGCCAGCCATGTGCGTTGCGTAGATAAATATATCTCAAATTTTACATTTACGCTATAACGACATACAAGAATTTGGAAAAAAACGCTACGAGCTGGGTAGGCCCTAATATTTACGCTTCCACACCATTTTCAATCCATTGAAGAAAGCTTCGCTCTAAAAAATAACACTTTATGCGCGGCATATTGACAACCGCAGGAATACAGTATGCTTACTTCCAGCTATCGCTCATCTTGGCATACACCCCTGAAATCGGGTCACGCTCACTATACGCATGGGAATCGCCTATGCCCAGGGCCATAGGCGATTCCCATGCGTATAGTGAGCGTGATCCTGCAAACATCCGAACACATTCAAAAACTTGTTGAACTTCCATCCTAAAGCATTGGTTTTCGCAGTCGTCTTTTTTGGCACAGTAAGTTAGGAGCTTTCGCTGTTAACATTTGATGCTAACAAATGATGAAGTTAGTTTGAAAAAAGCAAACATTTGCTGCAAGAGTGTATTTACACTTCATGGTCAGCCATGTAAGCGAAGATATGGACTGAGGATTTTCCGGAATCCTGACTCCAAGCTATTCTCCTATTTTCAGTTTTCATTGATAAAAAAAGCAAAAGAGTGTTTTTATTGGTTTTCATATTCATAATAATATGACTTTAGCATTATGCGTCGCTCTCTGCATCTTCAAACTAGAAACTGGAGATCCGCGCTGCTGAATGTTTGATAAGGGATGCTCCTTTTTGCAACAGACAAATCTGGAACAACTTAAGATTAACGAACAAGTATGGCAATATCTGGCGTGTAATCACCGTTGTAATACTTCTGTAAATATACATAGCGACTCTGCCCATGAGCAGTGGTGTCGATCAAGCGGGGAACAATCGCTTTGATCGTTTCGATCAAGAACAAATCCGGGTGGGCATACTGTAAGTAAATGAAACTCCTCTCAGAAAACAGGAAATATGACAGAATTCTCAGCACCGTTTAGAAGATTTTTGCAGCATATCCCAGAATGAGCAGAGCTGGACCCGTGACAGTCGGCTCCTATAGGACATCGAGCGTGAGCGTTGCATCCCATCGGGTCGCCACTCCCAAGACGAATTAGTCGTGATCCGATTGGGCATAGATCTCAAAGACAAATCATATGCCGCATCCAATTCGAAACTAGGTCCTACCATTTTGTTTCTTGGGGCCACAGCAGAAATGCCTCTTCTTTAAGGGATGTAGCAGACAGTGAAACGAGTGAGGGCAAGCGTCGTGGCGATTACCTCGACAGGGAGACGGAAGCAGCGTACGCGGATCGCTCAGCTGCTGAAGACCATCAGGACAAACTCCTGGGCATTCAGATCAAATTAGAATTAAAACTTTTTTGGGAACGGCTCACCAGAATCTGGTGTGCCGCAGCAAACCATTGTTTTCAAATTCCATACGTCTCTGACACATGAGTAGCCTAGCGGGCATGATGCTCTCGAACAGTCAAATGGAACCCCAGAGTTTGAAGATTGCAAGATCGTCTCATGTGGCGCACAAGCTAGAAAGTTCAATATGTTATGTAATCTGATGCTGAAAAAAATGATATTGCATCTTTCTGCTTCTGTGCATATTTTTATACATGATATCTGCTCAGATAACCCACGGGAACTTCCGCAGGACAGAAAATTTTTGGGGCGCAAATTTTATTCATTATCACTGGAATCTGGAAGAGAATTTGTTGCCAGACTGACTGACAACGAAAACTTGCGCAATACTTTTTACGAATGGCGGTGAAAGGTTTCTTCGCTGAATGTCCAGAGGAGGTTCCGGACAATTGTCTGGGTGAACCGTTGCCTAACGATTAAGACCAAGAAATATTGTGCAAGAACTGAATTGTGACCTGAGCTTGCGCAGAAGTTTCGACAAGCGTCCGCTGTGGAAAATCTGTTGGAATTCCCTCCACATCCCAGAAACATCATCGGCTTGCAGTGCTGAGTATTTGCATCAAAATAGTACCTGAGTTGAAAACATCAACTGCTGTAGCACATAACTGCTTGGATCATCTCCCTTTAATATCTATCATGACCAAACTTCAATAACTGAAGCGCGTCTACGTGATATAATACGTTGTATTAGGTTGTAAGTAAATTTAGTTGCACTTTCTTCGTCTTCATTTGTAAAACTCTAGAAAACTCGGCAAGGTTTCATATTCATCATCTGTGGGAAAGGATAAAGGTCCATCCGCTGGCACCATTTATGCCCCCACGGCATGGCTTACAGTGAATATAAAGACAACTCTATAAGGGCACTTCAACCTCCATTTCTTTATTTTTCAAAAATTCTCTTATATCTTTCTTACCTTTTTAGATTTTTTACGGACTTTTGAAAGCATTATTAGTAATACTAGTGCAGTTTTTGAAAGTTTGAACTTTTCAATGAGCAGATTGGAAATTTGCCAAAATTCGAGTAAATTTCCAAAAATTCGAAAATTTGATTATTTATGCGTGACATTTATGTATCAGAAATCTGCAACACTACACATAGTTTGGAGATAAGGATAAATCATTTGACAAATTCATGAGGATTTTTTTGGTGGAATCTAACAAAACTTATGTAACAACCTAATAGATTCATAATTTGGGAGCTGTCAGTTCTAACAAGTTTCGCCAAATTGAGCGTCGTGACTCTTCTGGGAGACAAAACTGCGAATTTTAGATTTGAATACCGATGATTTCTCTATCAGACAAACCTCTGCGAATATGTGATTGTGAGATGGTAATTGTGTTGAAAGGATTTTCTATTGCACACATAATAATTGCCAAAACTATCTTTTGGTTTCATCTATTAGCGTATCTAATTCTGCATGATATGCATGGGTGATAGTTTCAAGAGATTTCTCCGCAAGATTTCTACCTTTTTCTTTACGTATTATCTAGAATCGTGCAAAACACTTATTACCCATGACAAACCCCTTTGTGCAATTTCATGTTGGAAATCCTATCCAACAATTTAGCGACAATATTATTCTCACAACAAACCTCCGCGAAGGTTGTCCACAAGCGCTGCCTTCATCCTTGCTTTGTGAACAGATCGACAACCGTGATGGACAGCAGAAATTTGTTGAACCTTCTGCGTGCGTTAACTGGGACAAATGAGACTCAATTATACCTTTTGAGAGTCTAACAGAACTTTCTTCGAGATCTAATGTTCATGTACATAATCGTACGGAAAGTTGTGAGATGGACTAGAATTCAAATTTCAAGGTGAATATTTTGAACCTCATTTCACCAAAATCAAATCCAATCTATTCTAACAACTCTTCGAACAGAATCTACATAAAAGATATTCAATCCCGAAAAAAAACTACTAATAGATTATCAATTGATCCAACCAAATTTTTGCCGTCAAATGTGAAGCACTCACAGCCACGCACTCATATCTGGAAGGGCACTGCTCACTTTTTCCACAAGCTAGAGGGTAACCATCAGCGCTGCGATGATAGTCCCCGCCAAATGGACAGAAAGTTCCTAAGTAACCAGAGCATGAAACAAACGCACTCAACCTCTTTACAAACAGAGTTATGGCAAATACCTAGTTTTGGGCATAATTCCTCACAACTTTCTTTTGTTGGGAAATTATTTATGTTTCCATCGCATCCTTCAAAGTGAAATGAGCGACATAAGTTGGTGGCTTCGTCGAAATACCTTGAAGAGAAACTTTTGAGGTTAAGACAACACCAAACTCAAATAATTACCAGCGCAAGGCGACATTTTGTCCACATTTCCGACCGGACTGCATTGGCAGTGAGCAAATATACTCTGAAGCGAGGCATTATGAAGGAAAAAATTCAAAAAGCTCTAAACTTCGCAGAGTCAGGGTTGGTTGATATTAGTGCTTTCAAAAGTAAACAACATAGGAACCTTGAAAGACTATTGACTTTCGGATTACCTGTGTATTCTGCTGGTGTAATCATATCTTTTCTTTTTTGTACCTTACAAAACCACTTTCACAATCTGATAATGCTTGCAGGATTAAAATAATCGATGATTCTCCCGGCATTTGTTTTTTTACATTTAAAGGTAAAGTCTCGACAGGAATTATAGATTTATATTAGATATTGAAACTTTTTTAGTTGGCTTTTGTAATTCAGAGTTGAACTCTGCGTCACATGCTGTTCGCATTAGTAAGTCTCTTTCAGGACTATTAAGCTGTAATCGTTATGTAGATCTTCTAGCAAAGTAAAATAACCTGGAACAGGACAGCATCCGCTAGCACCGCCTTGTCGAGTGCATTCATAATTTGCAGGACACTCAAACCCAACCCGATCATCGCAGCGATGGAGTTTGCCATCCTCGTTCCGCAGGGCCACTCCGTGCCGGCACTTTGGCTCAACTGTTAACAATCATCGAAGCAATCGCGACAAAATCAAGAAACCTACCTTCCGTCCCTTCGCAGGCGTGCTGACACTTACGAAGTGTCAGGAAATTGTTCGAGTTCCCTTGGCAGCCTTTATACATAAACATTTGACAGCTTCCTGTCGTAACGTTGTACCAGAATCTAGGCAACAAAGCTGCGCGACAGGATACCCCTACGGCTAGCGGTTGGCTGCAAACACTATCTAGAAAAAAGATTTTTGAAGGCTTGATTGTTTTCTCAGTGATTTTTGTACCCCTAGATGGGCAACATCTATTGTTTTGGCACGTGTAGGGATAGGGACAGTCCGCTGAAGTGGAACATGTGACAGGTGATCCCGAATCATGTAGTAATGGTGATCCGACCGGACACAGATCTGGAAAATTGGTTCAAACTGAAGTGTACATACATCGCTAGTTGGTAAGTCCAACTCACCAATAGAACAGAATTGTTCGCAGTGCTCTTTAGTGAGAAAGTTATTGAAATTTCCTCCTTGGCCAAGAAACAGAAACGGAAGACACTCGTTTTTCGTGCGATCCCAATACCACCAGGAAAATTATTTTGTATATTAGACTTGCAAATTTTTAACTCAGACACACTGTATACGACTCAAAATCTTTCAAAACTTTGGGAAGGATGGCGACAATCAACGAATATTGTATGTATTTCAACACGGAGTGATCGCGTGGCAGTATGAGTGGCATTTTATATCAATATTCTATGAACCAAAAGATTTCAAACGGATCTTCGAGATCTGGTTTGAGAAGATGATAGAAATTGATTTGTATACGGCAATTACACCACTAGCAACTATCTTGGTTATTTGATGTTTTAGGCAAGGGACATACCTCAAGCGATTTCAGTCGCCACGCGATCTGGCAATTTGCCAGATGTCTTCAAATTCAATACTGGTAGACCCCAAATGCACAGTATGTATAACTTTCGTAGGTTGATAAAATGCCCAATCTTCCGTACATTCAGAAACCCCGTAGGATGAGTTATGAACATTTGGAGTATTGCCAAATCGCGTGGCCACTGAAATCGCGTGAGGTATGCCCGAGGCCTTAGGATGTAGCGGAAGATTTTGCGTATTTCGAATGAGATTCGGTAACTGTTTGATCCATAAAAACTCAGGTTTTGTTGCTCAAAAGTAGCATAGGTTTGCAATCAATTGCGTTCAAGCGTAGTTCCTATAAGCTAGCTTTCGAAAAAAAACTTCAAAATGGTGTTCTAATTTTTGAAATATGGTTTGGCGCCAAAAGCAGAGCTCCTGAATAGCTCCCAAAATCTACAGAAATTTCTTGCGCCAAAAGTCCACTCATCATTATGGTAGGCTTTAATTTTGCATGAAAATACAACATAAATTCTCAGCGTTATCTCAAGAAAAGAACTCTGCAGTTTGTTCACAGAACCACGAATCGGGGCCGCAGATCTGACCTAGTGGTAACCTAAAATGCTGTGACGTTTCCTATCGTAAGACAGAGTTTTCTTTTAAGATGTTCAGTATCAAATAGAGGAATTACTCTTCAAAATAATATTTTCGAATTTTTTGTTTGCATTTCACGCAAGATTGAAGCCTACCACAGTAACATATGTACTAGTGCTCAGAAGAATTCACGGATTTTGTAGGTCTACCTAACTGCCCTTCGCAATTTTTTGACACCAAACCCAGGATAGCAAAATTCGAAACGCCATCTTTGGAGAGCTTCGTTTTTGGAGGCTAGCTCATCAAAATTCAAACTGCATTCATGAGGCGCACCTTGCGCTAATTTTTAGACAACAAATATGGTGTAACAAAATTTAAGAATCGGAGAATTATTGAGTTTCATTCGAATTGCGCAAGAGCTTTCGTTTCAACCCTATAATATAAGCACCTGGTAGTAGGTTGGTCCAATGCTCTCTGCGAGCCTGATGCATATGGTGGCAGTTCATCTACAGAGTCATAATCTACAGATTCGATACTGAGACCGCCGAATTCGCTGCATATAAAATCTGAAATCTCTTGGCATTTCATTGGATTGCCGTCAGAAAGAAGAAAGCTCACTGGCAGATGGACAACATTGATACAGGCCACCTATAGTGGTGCAATCAAAGTTGTTTTGCTCCGCCAGATCGGTGCTAGGCGAAATCCTTGATAGAGTCAATACCCTGGGTTGTCCGCGAGCACATCATGGAAAGAGATAAAATCAAATATTATTTATTGAAATCTGCGGCTGCAATCATCCATTGTTTTCAATCTAAACAAAGCAAATTTTTTCTCGCAAACAAAAGAACTTCTCAACAAGCTCGCATGTTTTAGCCGTCCTGGGACTAAGAGCAGACCATTCTATAGATTACGTTATTCTGTAGAATGTTCTAGAATGGTACAAGCTCAAAGTAGGTAATCGCTTTAACAGGATCATTGTAACCGCGTGTCCACAAACCTGTGAGACAGTAGGATTCGCAGAGCCCTTTAGTTGGAAAATTGTTAGAGTTGCCTCCAGCACCGCTGAACGGGAACGTCTGACACGATGATGTAATGGAGTCGTAGTACCAACGGCTAGTGGGAGAACTAGAAGAGCCTTGGTTTCCATAATTCAGCGGTTGGATGCAGGTAAGAGCTGTAATGTCACTGAGCTAAAGGAGAAAAGTCATTTACATTGGAAAAAATATAGAATAAAACATAATTTTTTGATTTGGTGATGAGGAGATTATTTAAAACAGTTTCTTTGTAGCTGAGGATCAATAGCTAAATAGCTTGACAGAAGACCTATACAATTATCTTCAGAACTGGGAAAATCAGAGAAGTAGAACGTCCAAAAGCTCTTCGAAAAACGTTCGAATGGTAGAGTAAAAAGGCTTCCTTACGGAATTCTCTTAACTAGACATTTTCTTGGAAACATTCACTACATTTGAATGGCATCAATATTGGGTAAGCGCATTCTTTCTATGATATTTCGAGTCAAACTATCAAAGAATCCGAATGCATAAGCAAAGATCTGCATAAAATGTTGAGAATCTCGACAACTCAGCTCTGCTTCAGGCTATTGATCTGCGATTTCAAGACTTGAAAAAGGGTCAAAATGGAATGCTACAAAAAATTTCAACTTACCTTTTGTAGGGCAACACAATCCATCAATGCAATTGTACACTTCCGGGAAGTCGTCACAGCCAATAAATTCCCACGACTGAATTTAGAGCAGATTCCGGAAAAGAGAATCATGACGAAAAGCAGGGACTCACGTCAGAATTCAAAATAGTGCATGTCGATGGTGTATTGGTGTCGCGGTTGTAGAGCAGTGAGTTTTGACCGTTAGTTGGGCATTCACCTAAGTTTCAGGACGTTAAATCACTGCCTAAATCCGATAGGAAAAAGCAACACAACCTTTGCGATGGCAAACCGTTCCTTCTCTGGTTCTCGCAGCCTGTAGCGGCACCGGACATTTGCATGTGCTGTGCTCGCAGGTAGCTCCCGGCCACGACGAACTGCACTGAGCGTCGTAAAAGCAACCGGTCTCCTCTGGTGATAACTCTGGAAATTTATGCAAATCAAAAATGGCTGTTAGATATGATGGCGCTGGCAGCCGTCGGCCGCCTATTATGCTAGAACAAATTTTCTAGCCATTTTATAGGGCATTAGGGCATCACATATAAGAACATTTTTTTGAAGCAAGTTATATGATTTATAAGGTTGTTACACAAATTTTGTACAACAGAAAGAGTCTTCATAATTTTCTACATTGAGATTTTTTCCCCTTTTCAGTTTATGTGGTTACGATATATACATGCCATACGTGAAGAACACATTTTGAACCTTGGAAATTATGCGAAACAAATTTGGCAATCCAACTTGCTTTAAACTGCTTTTGTATCACCATTGATGCTCCCATAATTTTATAAAAAATCTAAATATAGGAGAAAGAAGAATGAGGGGAGCTTGAAAAATTAAAGAAGAAAAGGAGGTCGAAATGCCGATAGAAAATTGCCTCAGTGTCTACTGTAACCCATGCCCATAATCGAAAATGATGCTGGATAGTGTGCCATATAACGTAATTTGACGGATTTCTAGAGTCTTTCAGAGAAAAAGAAAATGTAACCAAACTTATGTAACAACCTAACATTTACACCGAAATATTTTACAGCTGGAAAACATGAAACTCTTTTTTACGAACCAAACGTAAACCAGAAACTGACTTTTCGAAAATGGATTGGGGCTCAAAATGTATGCCATACATTTACAATTGTCATTCTACTTGTTCAGTAATAGTGCACAATCTCCCCATAAGAAAGGTAAAACAGCATCAAAATTGTCTTAATGCGGCATCTGAAATGCTGCAGATTATCCAATTTTTGGTGCGTTTTTATTACGTTCTCTCCTAAAACTAGCCGTACTGTCTATTTTGCTCAATCACATTTTTTTGAGGCAAACGATTGTTTGTTGTGGGAGAATCGATCATCAATCCTGGATTCAACTACTCTCTTTCGTTGATAGCAACATGCAGCATAAACGATGGTACAGAATTGTAATCGGTAATAGGTAATGAAACTTTCCAACTGGAACTAAGAAATAGAACTTTTTGATCCATTTTTAGCCAAGCAATACTAGCGCCACATGAATTCACTTTAGCTATGTTTCAACGGCGCCAGTCGTATGTTTTGAAATGACTGATGTGCTAACTTTTCCAGCAATAATTCTCAATAGCGATGTGGTTTGCACTGCATCTACATGTCCCCATAATACAATCTGCCCCCTGTACACACTCGGTATTCGTCATGCAGAGGTCGCCGACTAGGAGAGATCCTGAAAGTAGAAGTGAGGACAAAACAATGATCAGGACCGCGAAGAAAAGTGCAGAAGAAAATAGTGCTTGCCTAGTGTATTTGCTAAGCCAACATGGAAAGTATTCCAATGATGGAGCAGTAAGCAAGCTAGCAGAGCTGTAAACGAAGATTTCATAAAGAAGCTTCGCTGGACTTTCCTTTGTGGAACAGCGAAGAGAAGGATCCACTCCCTCTTCTCTACAAACAATGTCAGCAGGTGGCCATGACCTCTTCAAGGGCTTGCACTAACCAGTGAGAGGGATATGTTCGAGAATCCAAAGCCCGCACACAGCATCTTTTTTACTGATTAATCGTTTTGAAAACAACAGGATGAAACACTATTGTGCCAGATAGGACACTAACATAAGCCACGTTTTCTATAGTACAACCACAGTATAACGGCGCAGTGACCGAGGTAGAAGTGGAAGGGGGGGGGGGGTAAGGGAGAAGGGAGCAA